TAGCTTTGTGGTTTCGATCATCATGAGTAATGGATCAACATCACGATAACGATTATCTGCTTCAGTGACTGCCTTAATTGCTGATACTGAATCGCTTTCTAATTCGTCTGAGTCTTTTAACTGGACTGGCTGAACGACTGAACTTTGTTGATTGGTTTCTTTTCTGTATTGATCGGTTGCTGTATATGTAGCCTCGATTTCGTCTATACTGAGTCGACGCTGATGCTGGTTTTCAGGGTGCTGAATTCTGGATAGGAAATCTGCGCATACGTTGTCCTTTCCGGGTTGGTAGTGAACCTCAAAATTGTATGTCTGAAGATACATGGACCATCTAGCTAAACGTCCGGTACTCTCTTTAATACGATGAAGGTATTGTAACGCTATATGATCTGTATATACGTGGAATTTGTTATTGGCTAAATAAACATGGAACTGTTTTATAGCTACTACTAGTGCGAGGCATTCTCTGTCTTTAACGTCCCATCTTTGTTCTGGTTTTCGTAGCATACGTCCGCCATACGCAATAACTCGGAGTTTCTTGTCTTTGTCGTGTTGACCTAGAACATATCCTATTGCAGTACCACTTGCGTCGGTATGTAGAATAAACTCTTTATTGAAGTCCGGGAATACGAGGATAGGAGCTGATGTGAGTTTTGTCTTGAGGATTTCGAGCGAGCGCTGACATTCGTCTGTCCATTTAAATTGCTGATCTTTATGTAGAAGCTGATTTAGGGGAGACGTTATTTTGGAATAGTTGTGTATGAACTTCCGGTAATAATTGCATAGTCCAAGGAACATACGTACTTCTTTAACATTTTTCGGTGCTGCAAAGGAATGTACAGATGCCGTTTTCTCTGGATCTACTGCTATGCCTTCTTTGGTGATAATATGGCCTAAATATTGGACTTCTTTGCAAGCGAATTGACACTTTGACGGCTTCAATTTCAAGTTGGCTTCGATTAGTTTATCAAATAGAGCTGCTAAGTGACAAAGGTGTTCTTCAAAGTTCTTACTGTAAATTAGAATGTCGTCTACATAAACTAATGCGCTTTTCCAGTTGAGATCCCTAATAACTTCATTCATGATCATGTTGAAGGTTGCAGGCGAATTTGCTAAGCCATATGGAAGTCGGTTGAACTCGTACTGACCTCGATGCGTCATAAAAGCAGTCTTCTCTTTGGATTGTTCATCAAGTTCCAGCTGCCAGAAGCCCTGTCGCATATCACAGACGCTATATGTCTGCGCCTGCTTTTCCCCAAGGGTATCTAGGACATCTGAAAGATTCGGGAGCGATTGCGTATAGATTTTTGTCAGACGGTTAAGTTTTCTATAGTCCACACATACTCTCTTCTCGCCATTTGGCTTTGCTACTAGCAAGATGGGGCTGCTCCATGGTGACATGCTCTTCCGAATTATGCCTTGTTCCTCCATTTCGTCCAAATGTGTGTTTATTTCTTCTTTTGTTTTTGGGGTAGTCCGGTACGGAAATTGTCTGACTGGATTTGCATCGCCTGTATCAATTATGTGTTTGCCTATTTTGGTACAGCCCAATTCGGTTATGTCTTTAGCAAAAGCTTGCCTGTACTGCCCTAGCAGAGTCAATAACTGATATTTTTGTGTTTCGCTTAAATCTGATTTTGAAAGATCAATACCCATCTCGGTAGCAATTTTGATATAATTTTTATTTGAATATAAAGCTTCGTCAGTTTTGATACTATCTATAAACTCAAAATTTTCTTTTAATTCTCCAAATATTTTATCATCTTGAATTTTAATAAAATTTCCAACAATAGTATTTTGTTTCAGTGTTATTACAGCATTTGTAGGATTTAAAATTTCAAATACAGAATTGTTGTTATGTGTATGTATTAAGCACCGTGCTCCCATAATATTGTGTTTGCCAACAAGTGAAAAGTTTGGTTCAATAACTCCTGATGTGTTTTCGCTAAAGTTATCTATTTTAACAGGAAAAATAACTCTTTGTCTAGGTTGAAATGTAACATCGGATAGCACACGAACAAAATTGTGGGTGCGATCCCGATCTTGGCCCTGACTTAAAGAAACTTCTGTCATTCCATTTTGTAATGATAAAACTTGTTTGGGGAAACTTATCTCAGCTTTTTGATCATGCATGAAGTCTCGGCCTAAAATAAGTGGCATATTGACATCATCCAAAATATAAAAATCGTGAAATAAAGTGAGCTTTCCTATTTCAACGGGCAGTGTAACTTTGCCTAGCACTCTGATAAAATTGTCATTTACACCACGTACACCTAACAAATCTGAATTATCTACAGGGTAAAGTTTATCTACTTGCAATGACTGATATGTTTTTGTATTTATGACGGATACGGCTGCACCGGTATCGACAAGAGTATGTATAACTGAGGAACCTATTCTAACATTTATCTTACAGTCGGCTCTTGAACGGCCTGTATTTGCAAACAGATTTACAATATTTTGCTTTGACTGTTCATTTCCAGACTGCCTGACCTTGTTTAAATGATGGGATGGGATTGACTTATCACTACTTTGATAAAAATTGAATTTGTTTTTCTGAAGCCTTTTATTTGGGGGGCGTTTCTGTTGTCTATTACATGTAACATGATTAAGTACATTGACAGGGGGGACGTTAAGGTGTGCATTCTCAAAGTGTTCGTAATTATGACAGTATGTATCACACTTACCATCACTTCTGGGTTGGTTCTGTTGTGTAGGATTGTCCTTTATAGCACTGGTAATTTCGACTGGTTCTGGTTTCGATACTATCTGCATGGTTATGTCTGCTAGCAAAGCAGCATCTATGGCCTCACCAACGGAAAAGTTTTGTTTAAGACCGGTTGCGGTGACAAACGGAACTACAAACTCTGGTCTAAGTCCACGAAGAATAAATTGTTCCATCATTACTGTTTGACCAGCTAGAAAACACATTCTCTCGATTCTGGATATAAACTGCGAAACAGTTTCGTTTTGTTTTTGTTTTAAATCGGCTGCATCTTTCCACAATCCCACTTTTTCTATACTTTTTCTTCCAAAACGCTCCTTGAATTTACGGAATAGTTTATCTTTGCTGTTTCGGTCTTCGGCGTCGAGAAGCATATACCATGCTAAAGCGTAGTTGTCTATAAAACATGTAAATGCTCTTGTGGCTTGCACCTCATCCCACTTTGAAAATTCACACATTAGTTCGTAACGTTGTATCCAAATGTCTGCATTTTCGGTCTCGAACGCGTTAAACTTTTCCAACTTCGGTAACTCCATTTTTTCAATTTTCGTATATTGGGACTAGTTCATAAGTAAAACTCGCTTGGCTGCAAAGGTTACGGTAATCGAGGGATCCTCCCCAATTATAACCCCGTGAATTTCGGTATAACTCCGTGAATTTCGGCACGGGTTACATTAAAGTCTGTAGGTCTATAATCGACACTGTGGCTGCTTTAAACGCAAGACCATATACAATATATACAAATTTATTCACATGTGTACAGCTTGAGAGCTAGGGGAAGACTGCCCAAGCAACCGTTTACAAAACATAAATTAAGTCAAAGATAAGGGTATTAAAACATTATAAAAGGTTCTCATAAAATATAAATTATTGTCCAATCTTATGTAATAATAATCGGATTATTGTCCTCCGGCTAAACTTGGTAAAATAGCGATAATTGCTTCTTTTGTAGTTCGAGTGTTAGATACATGTATTATCTTTAGCACTTTTGACAGCCATCGGATTAAGTTGTAAAATAGTAAATCTATAATCTCTTTGGGTATTTGAAATAAAGAAACATTATATTTAAGAATAAAGAAACATTTTAAAAAAAGAAATGTTCAATTTAAAACTAAAACGAGAGTTCATAGAAATATCCAATCTAAAACGAGAGTTCATATAAATATTGCATCTAAAACGAGAGTTCATATAAAGCACTTTTCGAATTATGGTAAAAGTTCCCAATGTCACTTTTCTTCCGGTTATATTTACAATGACAGTTTCTACAAATCCAGTATGTTGTTTTGGGAGCGGCATGTTTTAGTCCGACGCATTTCAGTGGTGAAACCACTCAGCGCAGCCATCACAAACGAATGATGTGGCAAGGGCACGTCTGTAAATGCATATTGCACAATTGAATTCTGCAATATCTCTTTTTAAGTTAAAGAAACTTTCATTGACTGCAATACTTCCGAAGTGAAAAATAAGTTTTTTACTCTTGCGATTTTTATATTTTCGTCCAATATTTTTTGTTTGAAGCATGTGAGATTGTTTCATGTTGTAATTTAATATGCGTTCATTGCCTTCCATTTTATGTTCAACTCCGATTTCAATATTCAACAGCATAGCTGGAGAAAAAATTACTCTTAAAAATACATTTGTAAGGCAATTGATCACACGGTTAACATTTGCCGACAGATGGAAACTGATGGAAACAGTTTTTTTTCATTTTCAGAGTCCAATTATTTTGTGATCGTAATTTCGTTCATAGTGGCGAAAAAAAATTAAGCAACACAACTATAGAAGGTTTAAGTATAATAAATGTAGCTTACATTTAAGTGCACTAATGTAACAATAGCACAATGTTACCATAGACACAAATATTATTGTTACATTCGTAATTAATCGGATCCTAACCCAGCCCTGCATTCCGGCAATTAGTCTCCAATGTAACAATAATTATTTTATTATTGTTACATTTCCATGTAACCGTAGCCAGTGCCTTTAATGTATTCATCAATTTGCTATGAGTTCTGCTTGTTTGAAATATATAATTGCTCAAATCTTGTAAAACTTTTCGATGCCCCCGCCAACATTGAAGTGTTGACAAATTATAAATCCCCCTTTTCATTCTCAAAAAATGTCCTTCCCCCTTTTTTCAGGTTACAAATTATCAGTCCCGTAATGATTTTGGTTCATAGCAGTACTTTGTATTTTTAGAATATGTGTTGGTTTCTGAAAAGAATAACTTCCGGGTCTCAAAAACTAAGTTCTGAATTGAGATACACCGACGTTTCTGTTTCAGGTTATCTGAGGGTCCATTTGAGAGAACCGTAAATCCACTTCCCCTGAGAAGAAACAATCATTTAAAACACACCGATGCTTATTAACTATTATACAAAATTCTAAGTTTTGTTACCATGAAACAAGTTTCAAATTTATTTATCATTAATCTTAGCACCCAATTTGAAATTTGTGATATTTTACCCAACATGAAGTACCTGTGGTTACTAAGGAAAGTTGTTTACAAGATGTCAAGGAAAGTTTGTTACAGGGAAACGTTTCCATTAATTTAAATGTACGGTAAGTGTAATATGACCCACTGCATTTTCTCGTCTGCTATGTTGAAACAAACTGAAACTGAACTTATTTGAAACGAAATTCCTCATTGACATTGGACAATCATCATTTTATCAGTTTGTGGAAGATTATCCCCATTTATGGATATTATACCTCAAATTAAGTATCAATTTTTCAGTAATAAAAATAGAAACTTGGAATTTCAATATATTTGCTCTCATGGTGCAAACATAATATTCAGGTTTCACAAATGACAACTTCTACTTCTACCACTAACAGTCCTTCCCAAGGTCCGTCAGACATGTGGCAGTGTCCAGTAAAATGTTGTGAATCACTGGACCAGATGACCAGTGTAGATGTAAAATTTTGTAATGATCATAATGTAAAAGACTGCTAAAACATAGACTGGACCAGTAATGCTTGAACAATTACTGGACCAAAAGACCACTGAGGTCCAAAAGACCTTTGGAACCTCTGCACTAAGTGACCACCGGTGACTGAGGGTTTCTTATCGTCGAGTTGCAAGTTGCGAATTACGAAAGTCGAGTTGCAAGTTATGAAGGTGGAGTTTTGAGTTACGAAGGTCGAGTTGCGAGTTACAAAAATATTATATTTCTCTAATTTCTTAAGAATTATATATATAAACGGTCGTGTCATTTTATTTTTGAAACAGAATTTTCAGGTTTGCTTCGCATTTAATAAACAAAGCATACATGTACATGTACCCTAACTTAGTTATACACTGCATGAGGAAGGGTCCCGGTATATTGATTGCAGGATTTGAAAGAGTTATGTGATACATATTTATAAGAGTCTATATGTTGCAAAGTCACGCACGCTTAAATTTATTTCATGAGAGCGACATTGTTCATTTTCTAAAATAAAACAGGATATAATGTAGATATAAGACAAATGTATATACCGTACTGAATAAATCAAGTATAAGAAAATAAATCATGTAGACAAATGAAATATAGTAGTCTTGCAAATTATCGACATCTCACAGAATATGGAACTGTATTAGGTCTAAAGTAAATACTTATCAAATGTGCCAGGCTTATAATATTTTCTATGCCAGACGCGCATTTCATCTATACAAGACTCATCAGTGACTTTTGAATAAAGGATATTCATTAGCATACCAAGTGCTAACTCTTCCTCTTCCGCAAAGGCTGAGGGTGCATGATATAGGCACAATTGCACATTTAACTTAGGAAAATATCTCATGAATTGGTTAGAAATGTGATATGTTATGTGCTTTATGTGATAAATTAAATAATTTTGAACTTTGTTAGCTTTGTTATTCAACCCCAAGCGGAGAGTGCATATATATACCAAATAGTTAATAATAGAGTTCTTCAATGTATGTATATCTGAATACTACAACGTTAAAATAAGCATCCTATAGATGTCTTTCTATGGCATTATGGTAACTTCCTGGCATAGATCATAATATGATTTTTTTTTTTAATTTGGAAAGACGTTATTCTACAATAAGCTATACCGCTGTTTCAAAAAATAAAAGGAACAGTTTTAAGGAATGTTATGGCATGTGTTTTTACAGTATGAGCACGATTGCCTTGTCTGTCACAAGTTTACTTTTTTACCTGCATGCAGCCTTGATACAAATGTTGTAGTTTCAGATATCAGCTGGGTATTGTACATTTTTCTAAAAAAAATGTGCTTACTTTTCATTTTAATATCATGCATAGCCTGTCACGAGAGCACCTAAAAAAGGTTTTACCCGGGTAAGTATGGCATCAAGTTGTACCTTCATTACTTAATTGATAGGGAGTGCTGCTGGGGTTCTGTTACCCAACCCTTTTCATATATTTTAGATTTTATTATTAAAATGTATACCTTTTCATATATTGCTTAGGTAAAAATGTTACCTTTTAATTACCATATTGTTTGGGTTTCATGTGGTGTGTAATGTAAAAATGGAATACCAAAGTGCCAAAAGAGAGAAAATTAGTTGATAAAAACACAGCCGGGAACACCAAGAAAGATGACAGACGAAGAAGTTATGGGTACTTTATTGACCATACAAGGTTGGCAAAAAAGCGGTCAATACTAGTAGTAAAAATATCTTGATTGAAAAATGTTGTAATAACTGATTTATATATATCTAAAATATGCAATATCATAACTTATAAGGACTAAATTAGTAGGTATAAGTGTTAAAAATGAATAAAACATCAAATTCATTCATTTATATCAGCTGAAACATGCCAAAAGATAAAAGTTTAAATATATCTTACTTTTTATAATTTTTTTACTTCAATTAATGGTAAAAACCACCATGAAAATTTCAATCGACCAGTATTTGCCAGTATTGACCACTTGAGGAGTATTGTCCGGGGCGGTAAATACCGCCGGTAAATACCTGCGGCAGTATTTACCGCCCAACCTTGTGACCTTATCATATATTTCTGAGAGTTTTCCCGACCTATTCACATATTTTCAAGCTTGAAGTTGCTTATTCACTTTCAGACAGGCATAAAACACTCTCAGGAAATTTGGAATTACCATTTAAGATAATGAATGCTCTCTGTGGTAAATAATTAAATAAAATAATTTTCCCTGAAAAATCATGTGCTAATTTAACCAAACTGAAACCTATATATATTAGTGTGTATGATGGTATGGTAACATAGATTATTATTATTTTCAATTCTCCTCAAAATAGAGACCACAGACAAAAAGAACCAATCAAATTGTCCTCCGGTTAAATACTGAGAGCTGGTTCACAGCGAATCACAACCAATAACACAGTGTTATTACCATAGTATCATCTTTTTGTCTCGAATATGGAACAACAAAAGAGACATTGTCAATTTGTAAATCATGAGCAACACGATTCGTTCCACATGGTGAACCAAATATACTTATCCTTCCAAAGCAATTAAAATCAGATTATGATGGGTTTGTGAATGTGATGTTGCCTTTTGTAAACAGCAGTTTGTCACTTTGTCTTTGACCAAAGAGTTTTAAATCCTCCTTTCAGTATGTTCCGCCTTTCTTTTATGGTAGAATGCATAACTCAGGATTTAGGGTTGCTGTCTACATGAAAGCTACTAAACTAAGGGTTTCCAGTGGCATAATTTAAGATAACAAGTAGAAAAAACTGTCTCCAAATACCAAATTGCCGTAAACCACAACATCGTCGTCTCTGCCGAATATGATACCATTGGATAACTCATCACAGAATACATTCTTTCATAAGCCATACGACAGGTGTCCCGTGTGGAGTAGTTTATGTTTTGCCTTTCGGGGGCACCTTGATTCTTCCTCGGTTTTTGATTGACTTCTTTCGCAGAAAGCGAGACTTAGGGTTAGTGATCTGGCGGCGGCGGCGTTAGCTCTTGACTTAAATAATATTCTCATAAATTACTAGTGTAATACCATTCAAACAGAAAAACCAACGGTCTAATCTATATAAAAAACGAGAAACACTTATGAACCACATTAACAAACGACAACTACTGAACATCAGATCCCTGACTTAGGACAGATGCAAACAATTGCAGTGGGTTTGAACGTTTTAATGGTACCAAACCTTCACCCTTATCTGAAACAATAGTGTAACATCACAATATAGAAAGACACACTATAAAATATCAATTGAAATGGCTTAACTCAATCAAAAGACATATTAACACCAGTGAACATACACTGAACAAATAAATTTGATATATGATACAATGTAAATACAAAATAAATAAAATAAGGGAAGCATAATAAAAGTAACATGTTATACCGCTGTGAAATGTTAAACAATTTAAGAAAAACAATATGCTTGAACAAAAATATCAGCCATTTGCAATTACTTTAAACGCAGGTAAATGAAAATAATTTTGTTGTTAGGTATACGTGTACAGTTCGAACAGAGAAAGGAAATATTTTTACAAAATAAATAATTTTGATGTTCATAGTACGAAGAAGTGAAAATTTATAGTAATACCAAACACTTTTCAAAGCTGGTATATAGACCAGATATAACCCTGAATAACATTAAATAACAAAAAAGCATTACAATTAGTATCAACAGGTCAAATAAACAAGAAAGTACGATTTGAGAGTACTCGCAGTTACTGACAGCTAGTTAAAAGCCAAAAACAATTATTAATAAAAAATAATGCATCAGAGACTAAAATCAACTAAAACGCATCCCAGGGATTTAGTATTTTAATGTCATGGACAGTCAAAGAAGACATGACTTGTGCAATGCCAAAAAAATAAATGTATCGACAAGCAGTAACATAGTTAGGAGTTAACCTCTTTATAGATCAAAATGAATGTGGGTGTGTCTTTATACATCCCGTTTGAAAAGTATACAAATTTAGTTATGTTTTAATTTGCTGATGACAGAATCAATATTAGTGCCAATGTAAACTATATTCAAAGATCTAATTACAACATTGGTAAGATAACCTTTACTAATAAGTTTGTTTAAAGGTTCGATGAGTTTACACGGATCACATAGTGATTTCTGCGCTTTAAGTACAATATTACCGTAAAATTTAGGATGTGAAATACCGTTTTTAATCAGTTTTCTACAGGTACAGCCAAATTTACTAATCAAATCTTTGTATCTATGAAAGAATTTAGTAAAGGTTTTACGTTATTTATGGTAGCGAAATCCCTGGTTTAATAATTTACCAGTGATGCATTGATTACCTTCGTTAAAATCTATGACATCACTACACACACGGGTATAACGAACGAGTTGGGATATATAAACACCGTATGATGGAGCCGAAGGAACATCGCCATCTAAAAAAGGTAACTATATTTGGTATGTGCGCACCTTGCAAGGTCCTCATGCCTATCAGACAGTTTTCACTTGACCTTGACCTCATTTCATGGATCAGTGAACAAAGTTAAGTTCTTGTGGTCAAGTCCATATCACAGATACTATAAGCAAATACTATTGCTGCAATAGGTCTTTTATATATTTGGTATATGGAATGACTGGCAGGTGTCATCTCACCATGACCTCA